TTATAACCAGGCCAAACTCATGTTGTTGCCATGAGCATGGAGGAATAAATTCGTAGTGACAGGATAAACGCAATTTAATGCCAGTACCTGCTTCTTCTAGAACTATTTATAGGAACAGTCCCTGCTTCTTCTAGAACTATTTATAGGAACAGTCCCACGGTTCTGCTGCTAAGGAAATTGACTATTAAGGGTCATTGATCTTGCTGTGGGGCCGAGTTATGCATAGCCGTACCCTTTGTACGGCGCCCAGTGATAACGACTCAACGTTACCATGGAAAAGCATAGAATAAACTAAGAAAATATCAGTCTCTAAATTTTTGTGTGCAATTAAATCTTGTATTTATTATTTTCTTTAAGTCTCATTTTCAATTATATTTTATATTTGTTATATATATTTGAAAATGGCCTACTGCACTAAATTCTGATATTCATCGTATATGTTGAGTATTTATTGGCGGTCACTGTACTTTATTATGAATAGGACTACAAATAGTAAGCCTATTGTACACTTATTTTTGATAGGCCTACCATAATATATTTTAAATGCAAGGTTATTCCCAACTATTATATCGGAACAAATTATAGACAATAAATCAATGGATAGAAAAAGCAATTTAAAGAATGAAATAATGATAATATGTTAAGAGATCGTAATTCAGTAAATATTCCATAGCCCATTGAGTACAGGACCAGATTCAAGCGTCTAACTTTTACTTTGATAGAACATAGAGTATGTCAAAACCACAGGCCCTAAACTTCCAGCCGGCGATGCAGTACACTGCAAGGAATACGTTCCAAGTCCACTTGATACGCCGCGGCGTATCAACAATTGTAAACTACTTTTATACATTACCAGTGCGTTTTATAAATGAAATTAAAATCCCTGTAGTAAAATAACATAGTCATTTGGTACATTCAAGCGTTTAAAAACGATTTAATGATTATAAATTTTAAATTTAATTATTTTGAAAAATTATTATAAAATTAATAACACATAATATGGGTTATTAATTTTTATGGAATGGTAGAGTTCATGGTTAATCAACGACGCAACAAAACATGTGCTTCGCTGTTTGAAAAGAGGTGAAAGCAATACATTGAACAGCAGTCTAGAGAAAACACGGAGAAAACAATATTTTACAGTATACAATACAATACCTTTTTTAAAGAGCCTGATAATCATATATAATAAATATATTCTTTTACACTAAAATTCGAGATTAATCAACATTGAAATAGAATAGAGTCTAGGTTTGTGCCGCATCAAAACATGTGTTTCAATGGTAGAAAGGGGGTGAGAGCAGTGCATGTAACTGCTAGCAGGAGAAAATTGTTTTTGCTTTTTTTTAAACGTTTCCCGTCACATACAATGGATATACTGTTCCACCAAAGTTCCAGATTAATCAATATTAAAATAGATAACATATAGGCCTAGAACAACTGCTCACATTTATATCAGATAAAGGTACTAATAATTATGAAGTTCAATATTTTTTTTTTGTATTTCGCAAACACTGAAGGAAGTGTACCCCATCTACGTTCATGATCGAATGTAGGCCTACTGTAGACCGATATCTGTCTGTCGTCCTAGACAGTTTTATTTAATAATCTTAATTAATACTAAAACGATATAAGAAATGATAATTTTAAAGACTAACTGTAAAAAAGATATAATTAGGCCTAACAAAAATTCATAAAAATTGCCTGTTTTCGATTTTTAATTTTACTCCGTAATTTTTCTGAGTAAGCCAAGCCTAGGCCTATCCATGGAGGTATAATATCTATGTCCTAGGCCTCTCCTAGTTTTATATTTCTGCTGTCTGTTGGTTTTGATCGTTACAGTGACGATAATCTCGATAAATTATTAATGTAATTCTCAGAAATATAACGTGAGCTTGCGTTACTTCCAATAGGGTTTATTTTATACGAGACGTTTTTTTTTTTTGTGTTATTTGGGTTTTTACACTAAGCCTGTTATCAATTCCCCACTACGAAGTGGAGTAGCCCAGGAAAATCATTCCAAAGCGTGGCCCACTATGGGATTAAACTGCCTTCAATCGCATCGCGTGGTCCACTCGTATTACGCGTTGCTTTATTTTGCGAGGCTCCCTAAGAAAAAGACAAGTCAAATTTTATGAAAATAAGGAAAAGTAAAAACAGAAACTGTTCAGCCATATAAAATTAAAAGCAATCATAAACTAAAAAATAAATAAAAAACAAAATAAAAAAAACTTAAGGGAAAATAAAGTGATGCAAACAATCACATGAACAATTATACAAACACCATACAAACGTACATGAAATACACATACAGTACATAAGTACATATATATCCATACACAACTGTATACTATTATTATAAAAATAATTGCTTACGAAATGTCTTGTCTCTAATAACATACCAATAACATACCTGTATTAAGTTTTGCGGCGAGAAGAATGTTCTTGTACTGTATATCTGAACTTCTAACACAACTTCCGTTACGAATTCGACTTTCTTCAGTTGTTGGGGTATTTATAGTGCAATTTTATTACTTTTCCGTTTATACAGTATTATATTTTAAAAGGAGTTGTGTGTAGGTCTGTCGGGGACATTATATGTGGTGAGATTCAGTGGATGTGGCATCCAACCTATAGTTACCGACAGAATGACGGAATCATGATAATCTATGAAATTATACACAAATGCAAATGAATTAAATTTAAATCAGAAGGATTAGGGAGGGCCGGTAAAATACAAATAGATTTTAGCAGCAGCATCCAGAGATTAGTGACAGAAAAGTGCATGCGCATAATATCTAGAAAACTGTGCATTAAATCTAGAAAACTGTGCATTAAATCCAGTGTTTCTGGTATTCGAACGTCACTGGGCGTTTGAAGGAATAAAAACGTTTATCCTTAGCTATTCTCTACGACAAGAAAAGAATAATTTACGTAAATGGATTTTAAAACTCAGCGACTGACTGCAGTCATGTTAGCATGACATATTAAATCTCATTTAAACAAGTTAATAAGATTGTGTTGTTGCTTTAAAAAAATCATTAATCAAAAACTCATTAATAGGGTGTTAATGTTTTAGTAAATATTTGTCAATTATTCAGCGCCACTTTTGTATTATTATTTTCACCATCATCATCATCATCGTTTTCGTCGTCATCATCATCATTATCACCATCTTGGTTATTTGGATATTAATGAATTCGGGAATTTATGCCATGACTTTTGTTTTTATTTTTGTCCGTTTAGTTGTTTCTTTTGAATTATACTCAAATGTGGCAGAAGCTGTGAAAGCTTACTGGCACCCTTACTGGAAAACTATACCTTTAGTTTCTATGGTGAGGCAATTCGTTTTCAAATCTCTCCCATTTTCCAAAAAAAACCCCATTTTCAAAAAAAAAAAAAAAAAAAAAAATATCATATAGGCCTAATCTACATACAGGACTATGTCTTCTGGTTTAATCTGGATAAATGTCAAATGTTCTGGAAATTAAAAAAATAACAGAAAAGTATTCGAAATTGGGAGGCGAATTCTTACCGCATCTTTGTTCAGAAATAGGCCTATGTCACAATACCAAATCAACAAAAGGGACTATCAATAAAATTCAAAGCTTTAAAGTTAGGCCTACCGCCCACAAAAAATCGTTTGGCAAGTAGATGCGAAGTAGGACTGGTACCGTAGTAAATGGCCGTTAGCGTGCCCAAACTCAAAATAGGCCTACCTACCCACAACAATTTGAAAATAATCATGGTTATATACGGTATGATATTAGGAATGTTTTATTTTTTTCTATTAAATATATATTTTTTTATTTTCATATAAACAACAACATTAAAAAATAATATTGCCAAAGTTTTTTTTTTAAATTTTGCATGAACAAATTAGAAGTAAAACGGAAAAGATTTAAGACTAGAACCGGGAAAATAGAAACATCACAAACCTAACCAAAAACCTGCGAAAAATCGATTATGCCTGTTTATACGATTCATTATCGGCATTTGTCGGTGAGTTTATGTGTTGGGGAAGGTAAGGCCTCCTGCGCCGTAGTTAATGATGAAAACATCACATCAGTTCAACCATTTGGTGGGTAATCTTTTGTTCTCTTGTCATTATGGGTACGACTGTCATTATTATTATTTATTTATTTCAGTAATATTTTGTGAGGGTGCTCCATTCAGCCAGAGCACGCTGAAAAACATAATTTACTTACATCAATGTTGTTCATCATACAAAATAGGCTCGTTGTTTTACATATAAGAGCAGCCAAGTCAAAGGTAAGCTATAGAACAAAGAGTTGAATTTTTCTCACGACGTTTCCATTCAATTTAAACTTTTTTAAGTTTAGCAGTTGTGATTATATTTTTCCTTTACTTTTCAATCACAACTGTTGAACTATAGGCCTAATGAACTATGAAGGTATATATAAATATTCAATTTTCAACCTGAATGCATTCATTTATTTATCTCATTTCATAAACACAAACTTACAAATTATAAAACACATTATTTTTTGTGATTTTGTTGTCAGTTATCTAATAATATCCCTGGGAACTGTTGTGATCTGAAATGTTTTTTGCCCTATCGTCGAATGAATTGGTTCACCGTTCGTTCCTAGTATACAGTAACTTCAGTGTTCGTTTGACACAATATTTGTCTAAAAATATTCTTTCTGTACAATTTATCGCATATAATGAAATACTAATTGATAGTATTTTAAAATAATAATTTTGGATTGCTATGCCTCATGGCATAGCAATCCAAAATGACAGGGACAGGGGGACGCGTCCCCCCACTTTTCAATGTAGGGGGACATCATATCGATTGTCTCCACCCCCACCTTTTCACCAATCTTCTATAATTAAAACCCCACTTTTAAAAGCGAATAGAAAGAATAACAATTACGCATGACTCATGAATTTTGTCTGTTCACTTTCTAAGTGCGGTACGTATTTTCCGGACCAAAACCGAGTAAAACGCAATTGATTATACATTTCGTAACCATCTCAGAAACCACTAGATCGATTTTATGGGTGCAACGGTTATCAGAGGCTAAATTTATTGTGAAAACAATGTACTGAACGTTGTTAAAATTGGAAGCGTGTATACTTATTTAGGCCAATATTTTTACAAACTCAAAAGTGCATAATTTCTACTATAAACGATTTATTCCTTTTGTATATTATTATGACCCGTACGTTATGCTAGTGTTTAATATTATCTACATAGTCCTACATAGGATTACTGTGTTTCCTAATTTCAAAAAATTATAGTTAGTCAATTGAATTTTATATTGCCATTATTAAACAATAACTATACAGCCTTTGACACGGATATGTCTATCTATTTCGATTAAGTGATAGGCCCTACCAAAAGTTTACAAACGCCAGTATTACGTTGACGCAATCTCGCAATGACGTCATAATAGTCAGTGGCGGATTCAAGTGGGGCCGAGCCGACCCTAAATTTTTCAAAATTATTTTTAAAAAATGGAAAAAAACAAAGGAAAATTATAAATAGAATTTAGGTCTGAGAGTGTCATTTCCGGCAATTTAGAGGTGTCATAATCATAAATTTTCTTTCCTCACCCCAACCATGGTGGGGCTGAGGTGATCTACTTTCCCAAATTGTGCAAGTCTCTCCGCCCTGTCCCCCCTCTAATTTGCTTTCCTGCGCCGCCACTGATAATGATAAATGAAGTAAATCACCTTTATGTTTGTGAAATCAAAATGCAGGGGCGGATCCAGGATTTGAAAGAGGGGGGTTCATTTTCCCATAAACCCAAAAATGAAAGGGGGATCCGGGGTCCTCCCCCGGGAAAATTTTGATTCCTAGATGGCCGGAAATATGAGCTTTCCCGACTTCTGATGTGTCTTTTAATGACCTTTAATTGAACCTCATGTTTTTCGAACAAACCTCAAACTCAAGCCACTCCTCTAAAATCTTACGCTTTTCCACTAATCTCAAGCTTTATTTGATTAAACCTAAACATTTTATTGAATAATATAAACCTTCACGATTCTATATTTTATCAGGCCCAGATCATCGAAAATTCTATCGTTCCTGTTATAGCTATAGACTCATTTTTAAGGTTTAATTTCAGCACTAGAGATATTCAGAGTACCCAGAGAGCATCTAAGCCCAACATTTTTTGGGGCCCTTCGACGTATGATGACATAATTAATGTCGAAATATTGAATCCCAACACGATGGCGTGTATTTCAATACTTGTAGTATGTATTATACTTTCTTATCTGAGATTAATCAGTGGACCTTTCAGTAGGCGTATCGTAGAAGAGAATCACCAATCGGCTTTGACCTCCGAAGTACTGTAGAAGTAGAACTGTAGAACGACTAGGAAAAAGGTGTGATATCGAAATTCCAAAAGAGGAAACATGTTATTAAGATATCCTGTTTTCTTTCCTGTATTTCGTATGTAAAACCGGATTTAAACTTTCAAAACGTTTCTACAATGTGTATTTAGGCTTCATCAATACGGTATTGCGAATGCATCAATAGTCAATCAGTCAATTGATTGAATAACGCTTTTGTATCATCGGCACACCTTTTTAGTGTAACCTTACAATGACTAGACAATAATTAATTGATATAGAGAAAACACAAAATAAAACAAAAATGTTCTCTCTTATAAAGTATAATGAAAATAAACTTATGGTAAAAAAAAATCAATAGGAAAACTAGGAGGAACAATGCATCGAAAAAATTAGGGGGGTGGGGGTGAATAGCCTGGGCCGGGAATAACTCTCCCGGTAGAAAAAAATCAGTGGGGAAAATTAGCAGGTGGCAAGTAGCTACCGTAATAGTGCTATATTCTGTAAAGTAAAGCCTCAAACCACCTCGATTTTGAGTCTACTAAATTTAAAAGCTTTTGGTGAATTGAATCTCAAACTCGATAAAGAAAACTCTCTAATGAATCAAGTTACTGCATGATTGTTTCATATTTTTAATAAAACTAATTTCTTCTAATTTTAAATATATTTTCCCTGAATTCGTGATTATTTGTCGTCATGCGTGGACTAAATGCGTGACAAATTTAAGATCACGCATGTGTTTCTGCCAAATGCGTGTTACATCCAAAATCACTTTGAAGCGGGACGATGCGCGGGAAACGGTTGGTAATGGTTTTGTAAGCCAGGACCCAATAGTATTTTGTTACGTTTTCTTCACAGAGGGGAGTTCGTCCGAACCCCTTGAGCCCCCCCACCCTGGATCCGCCACTGAAATGCTAACTAATGTTTTGTGTGCTCCCTCCCTAGTCCTGTTTGATCGTAAATTAGACGGTATTATTTTCACTCACAATAGTGTAGTCGCAATATTACTTACACAAAAGTGAAATTCAAAAAAAGGAGAAAAGCAAAAACCTCTTGATTGTAATTTAAAAGTACTGTACATGCAAAAAGACTAAATTAATGACTGTTTTAAGTTTATCTTATTTGTTTTTCATGGGTCAAATTTTGAATACGTTACAAGCTAATCAGTAGATAATAAATCATTATTTTTATGAAGGTTAGTTTGCACGAAATACATAAGCGGGCATAATTATGACTAAAAGGATAATTTTAAAAACTTTTTATAATGAGTATTTCAGTGGCAGATTCAAGGGG